CGACACAACATTAATTGCGACCAGTGAAGAAATGGCGAGTCTGTGGTAGAGGTGTACATCATCACTAAACTTCACGAATTAATTACGTCTCGTGATACTTTATTTGTTTATTTATTAACGAGTCATTGTAATTTATCCTATATCTTGAAAATTTTTAAGTACGAGTTAGAAACACTTGCATTTTTGGTAATAATAAGTGGAATTGAGTTGGTGTTCGACAGTGGTCGCATTATTAGAACTCTGAATTCAAAAATCGATATCTCAAAATCTATTAGAAATAAATTGATTGTAGTTTTTTCAAACACTTTCTTAATATTTCTGCTATATTTTCTTCGCAGACAATATGTGAAAATCTTTATAAATAAATAAGTTACACGATTGCTGAAAATTGCTATGCACTAAATGTAAATGGATGGGTTGTAAAATTTTTGAATGGAAAAACAACCTTATCAAATTTTTCTTATTTAAACATACTGTAAAAGATTCGATCTTCAAAATAAAAAAAACAGTTTCAATATCTAAAGTGGTTCTTAAGTTATGGCGTGTTATGTGTTAAAAAGTTAAGTTTTTAAATTACCGCGATTACTGACGTTTTCTCGTTATAAAAAAATGGACACCCTAACGATATCCTTATAATTCGATTTCAGATGCTCAGAAACATATCTAATGATTTTATCTTGTTATCTTTTCGAAAAAAAGTTTAAAAATAAGCGGTGTGCGACCGTGATTTTACTTTACTTGATAGGAAAGGTGTACCGGCAACGCCGCAACAGCACACCGTCACATTTCTCTCACTCCGACTTAATAAGATCCCTATGCGATTTACTTCCACACATGTAAATACCGACCCAAAAGTAAGAGTTGCCAGCACGGTATATGATATTTAGATGACACTGGAAATTATAAAGGAAATTGACATGTTTTCTCCAAAAACTCCAAATTTCTGTTTATACACCATTTAAAAATATATAACAGGAATTTTAAGTTGTTTTTAAAATAATTTTAATATTTATTAGAATACACTCATTCTTTTATCTTATTTTATTCATTTATATTATTTAGCCCCTTAATTCTTTCTGGATCATATATCTTAAGCTTTTGGTTATATTTTTTCTTAAATATTTTACTAAGTATAAAAGAATACATAATAAATAAATAATAACAAATATAAGTAGGTATATAATATAGATGCTTCATTTATTAGTATCTAATGATATTTATATAGTAACATATGTAAAAATTGTAGATACCTACTAAATGAGAAACAATTCATACCCCTATTTTCGAATAGTAAACGTCGGGTGTCTAATTTTAGAAAATCGAATACTAGTCTAATTTAAAGAATATATCAAATTTGTTTTCTAATTACTTCTAATTGTTTAGAACTTGACTTTAGATAGACAACTTTGAGATGAAATCTGTCTTTAAGGTACGATATACCGGATTTCATGCATGCTTCATTATTGTTAAATTACATTAATGATTCACAATAATGTGCTGGATGAGAAGAAGCAGTTTTTTTTTCATTGTAACTCCCGATATCTCTAATTTTTATACCCCCAAATATACCCAAATATTATACCCCGTTTATACCCGAAACATTATTATTTTAAGAAGTTTTTTTTAGGATTATGACCAGACCCCTCTACTAGGTTTCATAAAGCAACATATTATTTTCTTGCCCCCCACCCCCTAAAATCTATACATTGGGTTAAATATTAGGCTTTTGTGTTAAATATGGCGCCCTAAAAAGCATATTCTACATTACTTTTTATAAAATAAATTCCTGTATCCGCCCCTGGTTAAAGTTGTCAATAGATTATTATCTGTGGATTGTTTCATTTATACTTTAAGTTTACAATATAATCTATAGGAAGAAAAATAAGAAATATAGTTAATGCTTGACATCTTTTTATCAGTGACGTTTTTGAATATCTAGTATTATAATCTTACGATCAGTAATATTACATATGTGAAAGACTCTATTAGACATTATTTATTTATGTATATTTCAAAACTTTTGTGAGTATTCGTAATTATTTTTAATTTAATTTTGATATTTTTAGTACCACATTAAACATTTTTCTTGTTATCAGACAATGGAAAATTATTCATTTTAAGACTAATAAATTATTACATTAACAGCCAATCTGTTTAGATTTATTTTTATTCTTTTAGACCGCACACACACGGGTCGTCTCAAACACGAAGCCGGAGCGTATCGAACTCTACTTCCTACGTAAATAAGAGTAGGTACACGAACGAGTCGTTTGGCGGACGACGTGGAGTTGATGTGATTCATTCTATTATTTACATACGAAGGTAGAGTGGAGGGAGATTCGCTTGGAGTTCGAGACGCTTCCGCTTTGAAAGTCAAACGACCCTGTGTGGACGGTCTTACTGTATACTGTTTATATTCTTGGTATTCGTAAGCATTTGTTATTATGTAGTTATAATTTTATTGTGTTTATTAAATTAAAAATGTACATCTATCATTTTGTTTCACTTAGGGCACCCTAATCAAGCATTTTAACTCTACCAAACTAGTCATCGCTAATGTTTCAGAATCTGAGATTTATTGGTAAATCCAACCTCACCACACTGTCATTTATACCATCTCAATCAATACCAATTCTTCGTAAAGTTACCAAGATCTACCAAAATACATTTACGGATGCGTGATACATACCTTGGCATGCCTTTAGGTTGTAAAAATAATAAAAAATTATTTAAGAAATAATATGGGCCAAACTTGACTCCGACATTTATCGCTAATAGCAATTGAAAACAAAACCGCATCAAGCCTGGATTTAAACGAAGTCATTGATACTTTTGCGAAAACTAAAGCTAGGAAAAAATTGTAAATATAATTGTTGGTAGGCCCGACCTTTATATAATAAGCCCTTGAATCTTCTCTATTTCGTTTTATTAGCCAAACCTACACCAAGTATTGATTGTAATTTATGTTGTTACTGTTTAATATTTTTATTACCTGCCCTGCAGTGCACAAAAAAAGCTTAAGTAGCTTAGCATTTTTTAAGTATTTGTATATTTCATATTTTTATTTGATAAAACCAGTTTAACATAGCAATGGGGCCCCATTTTTTAATTTGCCCCAGTGCCCTTGGTTATCTAGCTACGCCACTGACTAGGAGTCGTTTCTCTTGACGCTTGTTGATTCTTGTTTCATATCCCAGTTTTTGCGTTATTTGGTAGGAAGAGGTGCTGAAGTTGGGGCAAACTTCTTTTTATCTTGTCTAAGACCATTAAAAAAATGATGAAATTCACCGTAGGTGTCTCTCTTTTGATTTATATTATGAACACAAGATTTTTTCTTGTTTTTATCTTCTTCTTCTTCCGTAGTGGCAATTAAACTTAGTACAAAAAGGTCCTCTTCTGACGAACTGCTCATCTACTACACTAGACAACGTACTGCGTTCAAATCATGAAATCGTTCGAGACGCCACGCTTCGCCCCAGTGCGCGGACATCAGCTAAATGACGCTTCATCTCGCGACGTTTCCGTTCGCGACGCTTCGGCTAAGTGCGCGAGCACCTTTAATCTAGTGTTTTAATACCTGGCTCTCTGGCTAGTTATTAGTAGTTATTTTATGTATATCAGAAATGATGCTTTTAAAGGTGGGTACTTCCAATAAATTCAATAATGTTTTTTTATCCTTCGATGTAGAATCAATGGAATAAAAATGTGATTTTTAGTTTTTAAATTAAGAAGCGTTTCACTAAACATTATAGAATTGTGTACCGGTTACGTTATGTAAACGTCAAAATACTTGCCTTAACTCGTTTGCGCGACGCCGCGCGCCGCAACCACACCTGTAGCGTTTAGTTTCTACAGTTACGTACCCTAAGATGCGTATACATATTGTGCCATGCTTTAACCACTTTAACCATGCTTTAACCACACTGTCTAATAATTTTCTTTATCTTTCGATATTACTTTTATAAATTTAATGTGGAGAGGTATCAATTTTTAGTTTTAAAATAAAAAAAATTGTTTTACAAAACAAGTTAGAAATACCAATGTACTATTACGTAGGTACGTTAAAATACCTGAGGCCCGATTCTGTAAACATATTTCCTGTCTAGTGACTCATCAATCGTATACAAAGAGCATAGTCTAGACAAGAAATTTCTTGCTACGGAGCTTACAGAATCCCACTGCTGTTTTAACTCTTGTTTACACGACAGCGCAACAGCAGACGTTACGTAAGTTTCTGCGTTACGTGTCGAGAGCTACGTATACGTATTGTTCCAATATTTTTTTTCTTTTTTTTATGTCTATTGCTCTTAAATTTTGAATTTTATGTATATTCTTAACGCCACAAGTATTTCTTCAGCACTACTCTTTCTTCAAAGACACACCCTTTTGTAGCACAGCTTAGTGTCCTAAGCTAATAACAAAGCTATCACATTTAATATTTTTATTTAAGAACTGAAAATATTATGCTAACCACTGTGACAGAACCACGTTAGGTAAACTACTCACATTTTGTTGTTTGCGTTACGTTATATCATTTTGAATGTATACGAAAAAATAAAATAAAACAAAACATTTAGGTAGCACATAGTGTTGTATTTTATTAAATTTTATAAGAAAGATTATAAATATAAGTAACATTTTTTCATATTTTAATTTTTTAAAATTCTTAAAAATTTACGCGTTCCTTAAATCTAAAATATTTGAACTCTAAACGTTCTATTTTTTAAGATCATGTTTTACATGCTTTTCAGCAAAAACCCTGACAGTGATTGAGTAAGAATTTAGTACGGTTTGTGATATCACTATAATTTGTACAGAATTAAATTATACAACAAAGCTATCACATTTATTCTCAATTCTTAGTACCTGAGTCGTAATCTATAAGTTATTAGAAATATATTACTTCACTTCGGATCAATTCAAAATGAATGATATAAGTTTTCTGTATAAGCCATATTATTAAAAATTTGTATTTTGAATTGTAGGTTTTATTAGTTTAGTCCATCACAGGCTATATAAAGATGAGAAAGAATCATTTTGATTAATTATATAAGATGTAATATGCAAAATTGTAATGTGATTTTTTATCTTATTTTTAACCGAAATTAAATTATAATATTATTGTATAATCACTTTTTCATTTGAATTATAACATGCATAAGAATTTACAAATTGATTTGGTAAATTTCTACATACATAGTATATTTAAAATGGCTTTACTATCTTAAACCAAGATTTTTATGACCATGTAAAGTTTAAATAAATAAATATTTTAAAGTTAAAAGTATTAGAACTATTCTATACAACCTGAACTGTTGACTATCACTTAATAAGATATCAATACAGAAAATCACAATACTTTTTTAGTTAACTAATATATCAAATAAAGTAAAAAATTGTGCAACTATATTATAGTTTCAATTTTATACGAAAAATGGATGTTTATGGATAAAACTTAACATACAAAATGTTTCATTTTCTCTTGAAGTTACAGATAATGAAAAAGTCTTAAAAATGTTAAATTTGACACTCCGTTTAATTCTCCTTGCGAGCACTAGGCTTGTGTTGTTACAATCTGAGGTTCACCATTCTGAGTTTCTTTTTTCTTCTCTTCTTCGGCTGGCTGGTCCCAACTTTGTCGCTGGCCTGAACTGAATATCACATAAAATGTACAGCATGCGGCGTATACTGCGGCAGCTGTGATGAATACTGTTCTCCACTTAGCAATACTGGGCTGCAAAAGGAAGAAATCCCTTAATTTTGTTATATTAAAAAATCTAAATGATTTTAATCTACATTAGCATTTAACATATATTTAAAAAAAAATATTTTGATGTTAAGAAATCATAATGCCCTCCCCATTAAGATCTCGAAAACCTTTGAATGAAAGGACTAAGGAAGGATTTCTGAAATTAATAATATGTATATCTAACATGAAAAAAATGGTGAAAAAAAACATGAAGAAAACAGGATTGAAGTCCAACGATACACAGCTAAAATACTCCTTTTCAAATAAATCAATACAACGCAAATGTCGACAAGATAAAAATAATTTCATAACAACCACTGTAGGGAAATCCAAGAGCATACAAACAGAACTGAAGTAAGAGATCTCTTTAGGAAAATTAAAAAAATAACAAGAGACTATAAACCTAGTGGCATACATAGGACATTGAAGATTGGAACGGAAACCTGTTAACCAACATAAATTAAACCAGCGAAAGGTGGAAAAAATACAGTGGAGAACTTTATGCTGACGATACACCAGAGAGAAATCAACGGAACATAGATAAAATTGAAAAGGAACCTGAAATCATGACCAGTGAAATCATAAAAGCTATCCACAAACTTAAAGCTCCCGGCTCAGATGAAATAACTAGCGAACTCTTGAAAAATATGAGTAATGAGGCAATAAAAAAGATCAGTAACATCTGCAACAATATCTGGGGGACATGCAAAATGGTCCAAAGAATGGACAACTTCACTTATCATACCTCTACATAAGAAAGGTTCAACCAACAAGTGCAAGAACTATAGAACACTTTCGCTTCTGTCACATCCCAGCAAGATAATGCTAAATGTAATAAATGAGCGTTTGAAATGTTACCTCGACTCCTAAATACTTAAACAACAAGCCGGCTTTGTCAAAGGCAGAGGTACCCGTGAACAAATACCAATGTGCGACAACTGATAGAAAAGTGCAGAGAATTTAATGTACCAGCTGTCATTTTCTTTGTTGACTACGACAAAGCATTTGATTGCGTCAAATGGATGAAGCTCTGGAGGATTTTAAGAGAAATGGGGTACCAGAACATCTTGTAGCATTGATCGAGAGCTTATATTCTAATAACACAGCAATGGTAAAAGTGGATGAACACATGTCTGAACACTTTCAAGCACATAAAGGCGTCCAACAGGAACTACTCTCACCCATCCTCTTTAATATATATGGGGAATATATTATGCGGACAGCTCTGGAAGACTGAGATGGAAGTATCAGTGTGGGAGGAGCTAAAATTAATAACTTGCAATTTGCAGACGACACAACATTAATTGCGACCAGTGAAGAAATGGCGAGTCTGTTGAGAGTGGAAAATGAAAGTGCTGAGATGGAACTAACTATCAACAGCCAAAAAAACGAAATTAATGTTCGTGGACAGAGGAAAAACCATACAAAGATCTTTCCAGTTTAATGGTATCGAAATGGTTCATGATTTTGTTTATCTAGGATCAAACATAAACGACGAAGGCAATTGTAAAATAGAAATTAGACGCAGAATACAGTTAGCAAAAACTACCCCAACGGGTCTTACAAGAATATGACAGAGCAGAGTGATAACAACCCACACAAAAAAGAATTTGCTGCATACAATTGTCTTCTCAATATTTCTTTATGGAGTGGAATCCTGGACAATCAAAGCATCGGAAAGGCGCATGATATACAGCTTTGAAATTGGACAGTTAGAAGAACTAATCTATCAATAATTAATGAGCTCAACATAAGCAGTAAAGCACCCGTCTGTCGACAATCTGTCTGAAACGCATCCTCGAGTACTTTGGACACATTGCTCAAAGACCTGACAACAACATTGAAAAAATTATTATAACTGGTGATGTCCAAGAAAAAAGATGTAGATGAGGTCGGTCCCCAACAAGTTAGATTGATCAAGTAAGACAAACAACGGGTGTACCCCTACATTCAGCTATCCATCGAGCTGAAGACAGATTGGCCTGGAAAGATCTTATAAAACAAAAAGTATTTTCATTGAAGTCACGACCCTCAGCTATGCTATCTCCAACTATTGGAGAGAGATATATCTAACATACAATCAATAAAACGTCAGATTGCCGGGGAATGACAGTCGATGATAATTTTGGCGAGTTCAGGCCCTAGACGTCATTACTTGGCCCGTATTCATCTTTATTTATTTTAATGGCGCTTACTGCCAGTTGGCCTTAAGAAAACTAAACTCAGACGCCGTTTTAATTCGAAGAATCACTTAACGAATATAAAAATAATATAAAAAATGTACTTACCGTTCCTTTTACCATTATACCAGCGTATATTGGTGCCAGCAACCCAGCCAAATTCGCAAGGCAATTCGTGAAAGACATGAGAATACCGGCAAATTGAGGGCTGATATCCAAGTGGTTGACCTTAAAACCGGAATAAATACCGCCATTTAGTCCAACACCGACGGTTAAGATGGCAACTGTCAACCATTTGTCGCATCCGGTAAAAGCGGCAGTGAACAGAGCGATTGCTGGACCATACTGACCTAAAATAATTTGAATATAATATAAACTATATTAGTTTAGAGTAATAAATATAATATATAAAAGTTTCTAAAGTATATTATTGGTTTGATATTTATCTAACTCGAAAACTATAGGAGATACGGGGATGGTTAAATTAGAGCAAAGTTGTGCATTAATCGTCGTAGATATCACGAAATGTATGTATTATGGTTTAAAGCTTCTTACAACTTTTGTTTTAATACCAACCATTTCAGTCACTGTGTTTCTTTAACAAAAAAGAAACACAATGGCTTCAATATATTTTGGTTAGTATTGAAACAAAATTCGTAAAAAAAGCTTTAAACCGCTCTTATGAAATCAAATAATGAGTTACGCCACTTCATGATATCTGCGACGTAATGTTCCTAATAATATGCTGTTTAAAAATATATTAAATTCCGAGTAGTTACGGGGATATTCGAGAAAAAACGAAAATTGAAGATTTCAATTTTATTTTTTTCTGACGTTATTTGACAAGGTATCTCAAAACTAAAAGCACATTTTCATAGCCACTTTTTTCCAACTACACAACACTGTTTTCAAATTTGTCATCCGACGTTTCTTTTGATCATCTTCATCAACTTTATGTGTTCTTATAGGCGCCATATTGAATTTTTAATCTTCTATGTGAATTCATTGTGATTCTAACGATGTACAACAAATTATGCATAATGGCTTTAAACGTCAATTATTTGTAAAAATAAATAGTCGGCTTTAGATCTTCGAATGAAAAACGCACCATGTTAAAACTTCGTTACAAATTTGACAGAAATGGCGCAAGAACATCAGGAATATAGTTACAAACGAATATCTCCGGAACTACTCGGAATTTTAAATGTTTCTAAATGGCATATTATTACGCATATTAATGCACAACTGTGCTCTCTTGAATTAGCCTGTATAACAAGAATGCGAAGTGCAATTTCACGCTTAGGATTAACTATTGGCGTTTTAACTATTTTGATTAAGCTCACGAAGCCAAAATATCAAAGAAAATTGTCAAATTTCTTTGTGCCCACTTAATATATAACATTTTTTTCTACAAATGTGCTGAGGTAAAATGTGCTTATAATTCTTGACATAAAAAATAACTACAATTACATTTGCATTATGATTTTTAAAGTTTGTCGTTTTTCTCATAAAAATAACACATAACAAAAAAGGGCATAAAAACGAATGTCTTTAAAATAAAAAAAAATATATTCAAACTCTTTGTAAATTGAATTGATGAGCGCAAGCTTCATTTTTTAATTGAGTTGCGACTCAGTCATCACACCATGAAAAAATCTTCAAATTAAAATAATACTTAACAAAAAAATTTCATGAAAATATAAATTACTAAAACTATGTCAAAGGGTAATAAATATTTCAAAATAAATAATACCGGGTGCGTCTCAAAAGTGGCTCACCTCTATAGCTTAGCATGTTAGTATATGAGATAAATTGATTGACGTAGGTATTCAATTGTTTTCGGTCACTTCCTGTTTCACCGCAAATGACTACGACTTTTGAGTTCATAAACGGCACCCTCGGTATTTTTTTACTTTATTCCATAGAAAATGACACTCTGAATAAAATGACGTATCATATGTCAACTTTTGACATATTCAATTGAAAAAAATAGTATTTTAAATTTCAATTTAGAATGCCATAGTCATAAATGTAACGACAATTTCACTCGAAATATCAAATGCGTGGTACCAAATTATTCGTAAAAAAATGTTTTTTTTCCAAATATGCTAAGAGCCACTCTCGTTCCATTTGAAAAAATTGAGATATGATTAAAAGTACGACTTGGACATCTCTTAACCGTCCAGGAGAACACACGAAAAACATTAGACGATCAAATAAATTTTCCAAGGCTCCTTGATTAAAAATTATTTGACACAATTGTGGCACTCTAAATTGAAATTTAAAATACAATTTTTTAAGCGAGAATGTTAAAAGTTGATATATGATATGTCATTCTATTCGGGGTGTAATTTTCTATGGAACAAAGTAAAACTATATCGAGGGTGCCATTTAAAAATTAAGTTGATTCCGGTGACACAGGAAATTACCGAAAACAATTGAATAAATTAATCAATCTTAATTTATGTCATATACTAACATACCAAATCTCGTTTTTTTATCTGAAAGAAATAAAAAAGTTATAGGAGTGAGCCACTTTTGAGACGCATGCGGTATACAAGGAAAAAAAAAGTAAATAAGAGAAAAAATGTTTTGTAAAAAATAATCTTTTCCATAAAAGAGAAGAACAGGGAATATAATTAATCTTTAGCACTTACCAATTCCATTAATCAGTTTTCTTACAATAGTTATAGTGATGAAAGGTTTGGTTAATAGCCAATCAGCAACATGACTGATGAAAATTGAGAAGAGCCACATAGCTAAGTACGGTAAGGCCGATAAAAATCCATTCTATAAAAGTAAGAAAATGCCAGATTGAAAAATAAATTCAATATAAGTAGGTGTACAAATTAACTTACATCTTTAATACTGAAATGAAGTACTTGTTTCATGTATGTGGGCAATTCTGTCATTAGTGTTTCATATCCATAGTTGTGACCCATGTGGGCCAGCAAAATAGCCCAGAACGGAAGAGATTTTAGAATTGACATCCATGGAATTGCCGGGATCTATATTAATAGAGAATGTAACAAAGTTAGATAAATTAATACAAAAAACTATAAAATGTAATAAGTGTGTAATACTACCAATAATTCTTTAAATAAGAACCTCATATTACATATACATTTGTTTAACGACGGTAACACTGTTTAGTTTTTTTTACATAATATTACATATGTAAGTAATGTAATTTTAACAGAACGTCAACGGTTTATAAAAGACGCATCTGCTAAAAACTAAATGTCCAGTATAAAACATAACTATTAATTAGTTTTTTCTTTGTTTTTTTTTTTTCATTTTTTTGCTTCTGACGACGCGACGTGAGAAGATATACCTTCCAGAAGTTCCCCGTAGTTTACCAACATGGTTATCTGGTTTACCAACATGGTTTTACAACAGAATCCAGTATAAAGCTTCATTGAGAATATCGAAATTAGTGTGTAAAGAGTTTGTTAACTTTTTCTACTTATTGAAAATTTTACCACTAATTTTAACGTTCTGAATGCTTACATTGCAATTAGAGGAACAAACTTCTACCGCTAATTAAAACCACTAGTTTATTCAACTAACTAGCGTGTACCAGCGACTTCGTTCGCGTCGAATTAATCATTTGTAATGCGGTGATGATAAGGCAAAGCAAGAATTTCCATTAACATACAAACTGGATAAAATTTTCTCACATTTATGTCAGCATGAGAAAAAACAATATGGCGATATTATTATATAACTTGGAAATATTTGAGGGGTAATTTCATCTCGTTGGAATTTGACTTTCGAAAAATCCGTTTGCAAAAAATAAGCTTTTTGCGTCAAGTAGTTTAAGCAGAATCGCGGTTAAGAAATTACCCAACTTTTTGGAACACCCTGTATGATTTTATAACCAAATAAATTATGCTTGTCCAAGCGTTTTTCCGAAAGACTAACCGTTCTTTAAATAACAAATATTGTAATATTTGAGGTGCGTTTTCACCCTCTTGGAATTTGAGATTCGAGAAACCCCTCCTTATCGAACCTCTACACCCCACAGTGTCAATCCGTTTGCCAAAAATCAGCTTTAAACGTCAAGTAGTTTAAGCAGAATCGTGATTACTCAATGGTCATATTTTATGAGACACCCTGTATAATTTTTAAAAAATCTAAAAAAATGTAAAACAACAAAATAAAATATACGTGTTTAAGAGTTTTCCGAAAAACTCACCGGTTTTTAAATAAAAAATATTTTAATATTTGAGGGATAGTTTCACCCCCTTAGAATTCGAGTTTCGAAAAATCCCTTCTTATCGAACCTCTACACCCTAAAGTCAATCTGTTTTCCAAAAATCAGCTTTTTACGCCAAGCGCTTTAAGCAGGATCGTGATTAATCAATGACCAGATTTTTCGAAATACCCTGTATACATTTTTAAAAAATCTTAAAATAAGTAAAAAAACAAAATAAAATATACGTGTTTAAGCGTTTTTTCGGAAACTTGACCGTTTTTTAAATAAAAAATATTGTAATATTTGAGGGGTGGTTTCACCCTCTTGGAACTGGAATTTCGGAAAATCCCTTCTTATCGAACCTCTACACCCTAGAATCAACCTGTATGCCAAAATTGAGCTTCTTACGTTGAATGGTTTGAGCACGATCGTGATTAATCACTATGTCAGTCACTTAAGGATTTTATATATTAGTATAGATTCGAGGTTTTGAACGAAGCTAGTTTTATTTAAAATGTGAAGGTATCTTAATTTATTATACTTATAAACATAACTAAAGAAATTGTATGTGATTTGAAATATAGAGTAGCTTTCCACCTTTCATATAGTTATTTATGGTATTAAGTATTAATACCTAGACATGCGATTTTAAATTTTTTTATACCGGGTGTTTGTCAATAGTGGCTCACCCCTATAACTCTTTTATTTAAAAAAAAACGAGATTTGGTATTTTAGTATAGGACATAAACTAGGATTGATTGACGTATTCAATTGTTTTCGGTCACTTCCTGTTTCACCGGAAATGACTACAATTTTTGATTTTTAAATGGCAATTTTATGGTTTATTTGATATTGCAACATGCTGTTCATAACGACAATTTGACTCAAAATACCAAGTATGTGGTACCAAATTATTCGTAAAAAATGCTTTTTCCAAATATGCTAATGAGTCACCCTCTTTCCATTTGACAAAAATGAGATATGATTAAAAATACGATCTGGGTATCTTTTAACCGGGCAGGACAAGACACGAAAAACATTAGACGATCAAATCTATTTTTCCAAGACCCCTTGATTAAAAGTTATTGTTTTTAACACAGCCATGGCACTCTAGATTAAAATTTAAAATACGACTTTTTAAGCGAAGATGTCAAAAGATTTCATATGTTATGTCATTCTATACAGAGTGTCATTTTCTATCGAATAAAGTAAAAAAATATCGATGGTGCAATATAAAAATCGGAAGTTGTAGTCATTTCCATTGAAACAGGAAGTGACCGAAAACGATAGAATACGCGTCAATCAATCCTAATTTATGTTATATACTAACATACAAAATCTTGATTTTTATCTAAAAAAATAAAAAAGTTATAGGGGCGAGTCACTTTTGAGAAACACCCGGTATACATATATCTTTCTATTGTTATATTTCTGCCTCAAAAATGTATCAATAGACTGAAAGAAAGCTTTCAGTTACAGCGAAAAAATATATAGATCCTTTTTATGTAGAGGGCATCATTTATAAATTCTCCATCAAAATACGGTATGGAGTAATACGAAATTATAACTAAATCAAACGAAAGCTGTTGACGAGTAAGTATAAATATCTATAAGAAATATCTCATCTGTAAATAGAAATCAACAAATAGTATTATTAAAATCCATTGATCCTTACAACTTGTCCTTTAACTCTGCCCAACGCCTTCTGGATATACATTCTCTCGTCGGGGTTAATCTTGGGATTGACCTCTGGGTCTTCGAAGACCAGCAGTAAAAATGCTATACACCAGACGGTACCTATGGCACCAAAAACGTAGAAAATGGAGGGCCATCCGGCGTGGGATACAGACAGCAAACCGCTAAGAGGCATAGAGATGACTGTGCCGAACTGAGCACCTATAAAAAAATAAACTCGTATTTTTTACAACTAATAGGGATAAAGATGTACGTAATAAAATGCCTACAAGTAGTACACAAATTTTATTCCTCATTTCCATTAATATAATGGCCTATGCTTATTTAAAAAGTGCCAAGTGGCAAATGGAACTTTTGAGATATTGGAGATGTTAATGCTTTAGTAAAATAATGATTGGACGGAAATTTTTGGATTGGGTGTTGTCAGACAGGACATCTTCCAATATTATGAGTATAATAAAGTCAGAAATTTGAGTTTGTATTTTGGCTTAGAATTCTTTTTGAGTCAATAGCCAATCATAAGTTTCGGGTTTTTGGATGGAACCAAACGACAAAAAGGATCTGGTTCTATTTAAAAGAATGTATATTCAAAAATGGTTCTCTTTATATAATGTTCTGCTTTTTTAAAAATTATTAATTATTTTATTTTGTAGATTTTCTTGCAGTGGCGAAATACCCATATAGGACTTTTTGCAGAGATGAATTCGCCACATAGGTATAGATATTTTTTAAAAATTATTGGTTTGCTCCACAGTGTTTGCTGCAATATTCACTTGGATCTTTCACTCATTTAAAATTTTTTTATAGTATTATTCTATTCTTAAGATACGAAAAAAATATCAAAACAACTATGACACATACATACACCATATTAACAACAAATCCATAAAATTGATAAAATGTAGAAGAATCCAAGCGACGATTTGAATAATGTAAATGGAATTATTTCCCCGGTTCCCTTTCTAGAAATATGAAATTGTTTTTCTTTTGTTTTTGGTTCATAAAAGATGGCATTTTAGTAGCGGTAGCAATTGGATCTTTTTGAACTTAAATTAAAAAATCCCCCACTAACTTTTGGTACATTTAAATTTTTTCAATTTGTCGCTTAGTTTCTTTTAGATAAGCATAGTCCAATGGTTCTTCGCGTTCGTTATTACTGTCAGGATTATGTCTGCGATTGCTTCATTTTTTTAAATTAATTCTCAAATGATAAAATACCCGTTAATAATTCAAAACCTTCTTTAATAAATTATCTATTTATTTTTCGAAATATTTTTTGGAATAAATATGCTTACTTCACTCCTTGGACTTTCTCTTTTGTTGACTTTTATTTAATAAAAAATAAGTTATATTTTTGGTTACAAGCATAGGTACTTTTTAAATATTAGTATGTTGAGCAGTACGACAAATTGACTTTCTTAGTTAAAATCTTCTGAGAATATCGCCACGTAAACATTCAAAAATATTTTTTTTTCAGGTAGATCAGAAATGACAGAGAGAACTGTTTTAGTAACTATCTCGTAACTAAAACACAAAGAATACTTTGTATTTTAGTTTTAGTTAATTAGGTAACTAATTTTCTATCTTGCATAAAATAACTGTAAATTAAATACAACTTAACAATTATAGCTAGAGACGTGAGAAATATAAAATAAGAGACGCCCCTCGATGCGCAGTGGACATCCCACAAATTTGCTTCAATCAGATTTTTCGTACCGTAACTGCATCTCTCTTCCGCCGAATGCGTTCTCTCTCTATCGTGTGCGCGACCGGTGCTATCCCCAAGTCTCTTCCTATATTTGTCAAACTGTACATATTATACTAACTATAATAATATTTATTTTGTATATAAACATAGGTTCTATTCTGCTTTGTTTTGTAGTTACAGTGTGTTAAAGTCTTATTTTTTTTTTCGATTTATTAGGAGATTTATTTTTATTATATATTATTAATTTTCTTGCACGTCCCTGATGAATCTGTCGACACTTTAGTATTGAAATATGTAACACTTACAGTAACCTTTACCCCCAAGATTTCATTCGAATCGCTAAAAGCACTTAGAAGAAAATTATAAAAAATCGAAAAAAAATCAAGACTTAATCCCCTGTAGCTACGCAACAAAGCAGAATCAAAATCTTATTTTTCCGCGAGATATCTTCACAAGAGAGATGGCACTTGTTATCTAAAACACGTTGTATTTTATGACATAAGTAAACGCCAGTCCTTATCTGATTATATAAAAAATACACCTTGACCACTGAGTCACCCTGTATACACATAACACAATCAAATCGTTTAAAGTTTATTTACTAACGTTCCTCGTATGTCAATAGTTTGTTTAAATAAAACCTTTTTTATATAACTTCAATATACTTAGTTTTCGTTTAGCAGTTCAAAGTATTTTGGCAAATAAGAGGTATGATTTAATACAAACAACATAAATGCTAAAGGGGACCTATTTTTGCAATGTTTAAACCTTAAATACATGACTAGACAATTTCGGGTAGGTGTACGTTTGCATTTTTCTCCGACTCCGCTTATTGAAAACAATTACATTGCACAATGCAATCAAAAGGAATGATACAATTTAATAAGTGTAGACCTAACTCAACATTTTCAACAATATCATATACCTAATTAATCTAAAAGGTTATTTTCTGTGTATTTATGTATATAATTATTGATTTATTTTTAATATACAGGGTGAGTTTCCTACGATGTTCTCTATGGGCATCTTGGAAACTACTGGAGATAGAGGGTCGGTTAAATGGGGAAAGAATTGCAGTTTTGTGAGATCATAAATATGCGCCTTTCAAATTTTTGAAAAAGTTCATGGCTTACTAGATATTTCGAAAAAAGCAAATTTTGGCTATTTTAAAAATTGTCCCTAATTCCATTATAATCTATTTTAGACAAAAAATGTTCAGATAAAAGTTGTAGATAATCACATTCCCAATGAGATTGTGTACTCCGATTTTTTCTAAAGCCTGTCATTTTTGACATATGACACAAACATATGTTTTTTTAAATGGAAGCCATAGTTGGCCATGACTTCACAAAAAGCGCCATTTTTTAAGCTTTTCAGCGATATAAGCTATAATATGTTTCTTTTACAAAATTACTAAGTTATAGCCAATTCTTATCTTTCTTGACTAATTTCACTTAGTTAGCCATGGAAACAAGCAGCCCCCGATCTAAGGGGGGGGGGGCAAACCGGGGCACCTGCCCCGGTTGAAAATGGTTGAAAATAAAAAAAATGCTCCACAAAGCGCCTTACGTTCTTCTATCGAGTATTCATTTTATTTTAAAACGCCCAGTTAGTTTTTAAACACATTCTAAAGTTTCATTTAGAACCTCGCCAGAAATTAGCCGTTTCAATAATTACACTTTTTACTTTTTAGTTTACGATCATTCACAATCACAAAACATCCCCCTTTAGAATTTCATCTGTCATGTTAAGAAATGAAAGTAAATAATAAAGCGCCTCTCGTGTTTGTTCGCACTCTAAATTTCAATTAATGCCTGTATATATTCTTAATATATTTTTTAAATAAATTTTTTTTAATTGTAAAGTAATATATTTCATTTAAATGGAATATATTACATTACAATTATGTCAATTACAGGATTACAGGCTTGTTTTCTAACATTTTTTAAATAAAACGAATTGTTAAATTTCAATATATGTATATTTATCGTAGGTATGAAAAAAGTAAAATATAAAATGGACAAATGCTTACTTACATTGCAATAAAACTTCCACTTTTAGTTTTGCAATCCAAACGCAATATTTCTATTTCACAAATAAAAATATCCGACAACATTAAAATCACTGAAACTTGCGCGGCTGACAACGAAAACTGAAAAATATAACGGCACTTTTTGTTTTGGACCTGCATATCACCATTACGCTGTACCATTATGAAAATATCTAATTATAACTTGTAAATTTTAATATCTTAACATGATTTTAACTATTTCTGGCAATAACTAACTTTTTGTTATCAAGATGACATTTTAGACGGCAACTGACATATATGTCATAATATTTGAATTTTAAATATGTATGTAATATAATTTAAATTAATATAATGCAACTTTATACTAAGAAAACATTTATACACTCACAAAATACAACAAAGTCTAATAATATAGTTTGAAAACAATGAATATTGAAATAAATTAAAAAAGTTAAGCACGACCCCTTGTGTCAAAATTAGATGATTAAATTTTCGAAATTTTTACACCATTTGATGACTGGTGGCGCCTCTAGTGTTTGTTCGGGCGGTTGGTCTTTTACTCCCACTTATGGCCATTAAAGAAAAAGTTCTAAAGGGGGATGTTTTGTGTTCACAATATTTAAAAAACACAACTAAAATTAATAGAATATCCTAGCAACAGCTTGTGGTAGTCAGTTGTATTGTGGTTGTATCCATAAAGAAAGCCAAATATTTAGCTTATAAAACAATAAACTTTTGATTTCTAACCACGCTTTCTCTTGACGGATGCTAATCAATGGCCAAAATGACATTTCCCGCAAAATTTGAAGTATAATTAGTGGAAAGCTTAAAAGTTTGTTTACTTTTTCTATCAACTGAAAATGACTACCACTAATTTAGACGTTCTGAATGCTTACATTGAAATTAAAGGAACAAACTTCTACGCTAATTGAAACCACTAATTTATTCCACTAATTTGGAGATTCTGAATGAAGCTTAAGGGCTAATTCTGTCGCGTTTACGAAAAATGCCTACCTATATCTAGATATTTGTAAGTTTTTAAATTAATTTATTGCAAACGCTGGAGAGAGGGGGCGCTACAATCATTTTTTGCCCCAGTTCAAAAAAATTGTAGATCCGGGGCTGGAAACAAGTTCAATCGTCGTTGCTCTCAGAAATGTGAAATTGTCACATCCAATCTTTGTAAATTAAAATAAACAAAAATTGTAAATATTTTTTTTTAAATGAAGAAAAGCGTGTAGGATTATTGGTTCAACTTTTCTTCACCATACAAGATACGGTGACCAGTGAAAGTTACTTACGTTTTTAGAGAACGTTTTCCAATGGTGTTCTAATTTTGTTATGATTTATAACTTATAAAAAGACAAAATATATTATTAAACGGCTCTTTACAATTTACATTGCACAAAGTAAAGCTTAAAAAATAATCAATACTTTAAGTTATTTTAGAAAATGTTCAAAAAATCCGCAATTGTTTTGAGTGCATAAATGCATCTTTTTAAAACTGAATTTCTAGCTATTGTCACAGAACGACCGGTCGACTTAAATAAACTTCTCCTGTTCCGCCTCTTTGAGTGCCTCTCATAAGTTCATAAGTTCTTTTGTAAACCTTGTTGTTAACCATACCGCATAAAAAAATCTAAAATGGATAGGTCAGGTGACCGAGGAGACCTATGCAATTGGTCCACCTCTTTCTATCCCTGAGTCTACATAATTATGATAATGAAATAATTTTTAACATTTCTTACATTGGGGGGGGGGTTGGTGTGTCCAATAATGAAAGTCATGTTGGAACCACTCTATTAATGCTTGAGTATCTAAATTTAACTTTTCTAACATGTCTTAAAAACCGTTCTCTAAAAAACGTAAGTACCGTTCACCGGTCAATGTATCCTCGAAAAGCTCATGAAAGAAAACGCCTTGCGTGACCATTTTCTTTATGTGTGTCGAATACTCGTCAGCGAGTAACGGCTGTATGTATGTATGTATGTATCCTCGAAACTGTATGGGCAAGAAAAGTTGAACCAATAATCCTACACGTTTTTATTCATTTGAAAAACTCGTATTTACAATTTTTATTTATTTTAATTTACAAAGATTGGATGTGACAATTTCATATTTCTGAGAGCAACGACGATTGAACTTGTTTCCATGGCTAACTAAGTGAAATTAGTCAAAAAGATAAGAATTGGCTATAACTCAGTAATTTTGTGAAAGAAACATATTATAGCTTATATCACTGAAAAGCTTAAAAAATGGCGCTTTTCATGAAGTCATGGCCAAGTATGGTTTCCATTTAAAAAAACATATGTTTGTGTCATATGTCAAAAATGACAGGCTTTAGAAAAAATCGGAGAGCACAATCTCATTAGGGATGTGATTATCTACAACTTTTATCTGAAAACTTTTTGCCTAAAATAGATTATAATGGAATTAGGGACAATTTTTAAAATAGCCAAAATTTGTTTTTTTCGAAATATCTAGTAAGCCATGAACTTTTTCGAAAATCTGAAAGGCACATATTTATGACCCCACAAAACTGCAATTCTTTGCCCATTTAACTGACTCTCTATCTCCAGTAGTTTCCGAGATACCCATAGAGAACATCCTAGGAAACTCACCCTGTATATAAAAATGAGTTTTATTTTCTGTTTTAACATGCTTAATTACAGAGTTTCTTTCATATGCATAAAAAGACTTTTTAGTTTTCAACAATTTTTTCTAACGTAACCTCTCAGATACGGTAGTAAACTTAAGTCAGATCATCCAATTGCTTATTGGCGCACTGATTAATCATAACCTTTTCGCGCCATTCTTAATCCAAATTTTTTTAACACTTTATCCGTCAACAAAAAAGTTAAAATAAATTTAAAACTTTTTGTATGATAACGGAAGTTTTGACAGTTCTTTGACAAGTTTAATCTAACCTTACTTTTTTTGTTGACAAATCTTCCAGTTTGTATATAATTTTATATTTTAAAGAGTTGTAAAAGTTAGCGATAAGTAAGTCACGAAAACCTTTATGGAAATAAAATCAAAATATGACAATTAAATTGACAAATATTTCTGACCAGTCACAAGAGTTTCATATTATCCGATAAACGGATACATGAAAATGCAACCGATTAAAAAACCACGGAATTTTGTACCAATCAAATTCTTTAAATTCAATCAATAAAATTAATATCGTACTCCGTCGGATTTACTTTAAAACGGACGTAACAGCAGGTCCTTAAATGGTTTTGACATTTTAAATTATTATTTTTATTTTAGCTCAATCACTTTGGTTAAAATTTGACAAAAGAATAAAAAATAGAGAGTCGAAAGTTTTGATATATTTTAATTTCTATTTGACAACCACATTTATGTCATAATGTTTGATACATTATGTTAAAGCCGGGCGTCCCACACGGTTCCAAACACCTTCTAACGTTGGACACATGAACATTTGCCACATCGTGTAGGAGACACAATTCACCGTCAATTACCGTACTGTCAAAAACTATGCCAAATATTGGTTACAACGTTGGAACCAATGTTGGACGCATAGTGTATGACCAATTAGCAATAAATAAAAAAAATAAATTACTTATACAAAAGTTGTATAGAATTCAATTCTCTACAAATATGTCCATAACATTTTTTGTCAGAAAATGCAGGAAGGGCGCGCAAAACGCAAAAAGTACAAAATCCAAAATATGGCGGACATTTCCAATATAAAATATTATGGGCAAGATTATGATTTTGCCGTCTACTTCGTCGGTAAAATACATTATATCAGAATAGTACAATTTCTAGACAGTGCCTACTGACAACTAAGGTTTCTAACCCAAAAATATAGAAACAATAAAAATATTTAAATTTTCTAATTGAAAATAAGTAAATATAGTCTGTTCAGCGATCATTCAGCGTTACGTCATTATTATTTAACAAATATATATATGCGTTTTAGAATGCGTCCGAAATCAGTTCATATTGTTTAGGAAATTTTAAGTACGCACTGAAATTATTAATTGAGTGAGTCCCGTTTTTATTAAATTAATGTAGATATGTCAGGCCATTATACCAGTTTTTTACTAGGTAAATCGTACATATTTTAAAATAAACTTATTAAAAAACATGAGATTCTATACAATAAAATACACTTTGATACTCTAGAAGTCAAAGATACCTAAAATAATAAAATATATAGTCGTGCTTCTTAAACTGTATAAGAAATGTCTTTTTTCAAAACATCAACAACGGTATAGTATTTAAAAACTGTGTTAATTTGTGTTTACATAATACTAGAAGGGTTTGCCATTACTTACTTTATATACGGTATCCACGGGCAAAAGTGTTTTATTCTACCAGTGTCTCTTTTCTCGCGGAAAATAAGTATGCAATAGGAACTTGTTCATCCTCGCTAAATCATCAACGCAATTTAGTAAAAAAAAAATAATTTCATATTAAAAATCAAAGTCACAATTAAGAATTATTGGACAGCGCAGCAAATCCTAATTTTGGCCATATCTTGACATTGATCGATGTCATAGATAAAGGAAATACATTTAGATTGGAATGCCCGTTAAAATTTTAAGTCGCGAAATTGTTTTGGGTCGCGACCGTTGTACGCGATCTGGCGCTGCTATAGCGGTTGCTAACAACAACCGTAAACAAAAACAGAAATAATTTTTTCTTGTCCATATCTCTTGTCAAAGTCGGAATCTTGAAAAATTATAAAATCTTTCAAAATCTAAACCGCTCTCATTGAAAAAATTCCGAAAAGTGTCTATTTTCAAAGTAATTATTACTATCTTGTAAGATTAATTTAAGATTTATTTAGTCAAACCCCTGATAATTGTAAAAAAGGGGCATTAAAAACTGGATCCTGGATCGTGGCATAACGTCGGTTTCTAATGTTGCATATGTATTTCATACATATAATAAAGTTTCTTGTATGCAACACACTGTATTTTATTTATAAAATTAAAAGAAAATAATAATCAATTTGAATAAATAACATTTGGCGATATAATTCCATTTATAAGCAACGAGGAAGTTCTTGGACAGCTGAACAAAGATCGGGAACTGTTAACCACCATCAAGGCCAGAAAGGTGAGCTACTTCGGACACATAATGCGTGGCACCAAATATTATATTCCTCGTTTGATTATTCAAGGAAAAGTCGAAGGTAGAAGATGGGTAGGTCGAAAGAAACTGTCATGGCTCAGAAATATACGGAACTGGACCGGTCTGGGGGTGGAGAGGCTGTCTCATGCAGCAGAAGATAGAGAACTCTTCCACGAAATAGTCATGGAGATCGCCAACGCCTGAAGACAGGCACGGCACCGCAAGAAGAAGAAGATATAATTCCGAAATTTTCAAAAGCTTTGGGTCGCGACAAATAATGTTTTCCTTATGGGCACTTTCCAATCTAAACTTGTTTCATTTATCTATGATCGATGCCTGTCAATAAAATTATAGTCCCAAATCAAATGACAAAAACCATTACTAAATGCAAATTTTGACAGTGATAAATGTCCGTCAATAAAATTATAACAACTCCAAATCAAATGACAATAACTAAAAACAATGTGCAGTAATTTACAAAATGACGTAATGACGTCACCAATTTCTTTCATCTGGTTGTCAAGTGTAATGTTGAACGATCGTTGAACTAACAATACTTGAATAAAACATTTTTATACTAAATATTAATTACATATTTAAACACTCTACGTAAAGAAGAAATACCTAATCTTTGCTCTCGAATTATTCTGAAACTACATTACTACTATTAAAAAACGCACTTTTTAATATATCTAGTAAAGCTAAAACATAAAAACCAATTCAGAGCCTGCTGATTCGTCGCTTTATTCGAGAAGAACCTATTCGTATAAATTTAGAATAATACCTGCATAAACAAATGCACCCATTCGGCTTCTCTCATTTGGAGGGATCCATTTTGCCAGCAAAGAGTGTGTGCAGGGGACAATCGGACCCTGTCCGAGAATAGGAATATTTCAGAAATTTTCCTAGGGACACTGAAGAGAGAGATTTTCTACTGTTTCTTTTTAAGACACTATTATAAGCCCTTTTTATTTCAGAACACGTTGTGCTTTTGGTGTCTTGAAGCATATTGTAAAATGATCAAGCAAGAAACATTCATATCGAGTTATTATATCGTGCAGTTTTGCATTAAAAAAATGTTATATCCGCCACACTATTTTGAAGCATCTTGTATACTCAAAGACAATTTCAAATTGCGTATATTGATACTCCCTAATACTGTTCTATTTAACATTTATTTATAATGCTTAAAACAACAAGATAATAAACTCTATTCTATCGTTGACTCACCCTGTACATTTGTTAATATATACCGGGTGCATCTCAAAAGTGGCTCACCCGTATAACATTTTATTTTTTCAGATAAAAAATGAGATTTGGTATGTTTGGTTTGTATAAATTAGGATTGACTGACGTATTCAATTCTTTTCGGCCACTTCCTGTTTCACCGGAAATTACTACAACTTTTGATTTTTAAATAGAATCCTCGGTATTTTTTTACTTTATTCGATAGAAAATGACACCCTCCAAATAGAATGACATATCATATGTCAACATTTAACATTTTCGCTTAAAACAAAATTGTATTTTAAATTTCAATCTAGACTGTAAAATTATATGGGGAATGTCAGCGATGCTCATTTCCAAGCCAACTGGACGCCGTATTTTAACCAATATAGTACATCAAACCAAACAATTTTAAAGTTAATCAGAAATGGATGCATAAAAAAATAAATAACTTTTAAATGATATAGATAAATTTGTATTTAAGGTAAAGAACTGACTGATAGGATATTTGTAACAGTGAAAATCAATTAATCTAATATAAAATATGCGATTCTGGTTTTACTCTGACTTGTTTAAAAAAATCAATAACATTATGGTGTAATCTCCGGGTGTTGCTAGCTTTTGAGTGTTTTGCCACAATTCTTAAAAATATTCAAAATAGAGTCAGTAATATTAATTAACATATTCTAATAAACCTAGAATTCTAAAGTGTAGCAGCAATAGAATACAATAAACACTATAGTCATTTAGTTTTAACCTTTTACTTTATAAACATTTTTTCTATAAATATACTGAAGTAAATTGTGCGTATAATTCTTGACATAAATAATAAAACTATGGTCTTAATATTTATTACTATCTTTTAATAAATCTAGTATTTTAGAGTGTAGCAGAGAAAGAATACAATAAATAATAGTCATATTAGTTGCCTGTATTACTGTCGTTAAAGGAAACAAAATTGAGTTTAATAATTAAAAAAGAAATGAACTGTTTATATTTTTTGAATTTAATCGGCATTTTTATGAAAATCATTTAATATAGTTGTGATATTAATTTACATTCATTTATAATTTATGTAAAATAAGACCAAAAAATGATTAAAATTACTTCGGAAAATGTAATTCTGACATGAAAATATTTTGTTAAACTAATTATCTTTTTACAAGGTTCTTGGAAATTCAAATGCATGAAAATGACTTACAATGACAGGCAACTGACACGAGTTAAGTGAATAGATCAAGACTTGAATTCAAGTAACTGAAAAAACACCATTTGAATGTCAAAAGTTAAACAATAGTCAACTGAGACTTGAATCAACTCACTTGATCAATTGACATGATTTGTCGAGTCTAGACGGTTATATTGCATTCATCATTCATGCGACTTGAATTTAAGTGACTTGATCAATTCACTTGATGAATTCGCTTGAAACGCGCCTTTATACTGCCGTTTTAATTCATAAGTAAGTCCTATTTTCTGTTTCTTAGTTCAGACGATATCCTAAAAATGACAGAAACTACAATTTTGTGAATTGTATTAGTCACTCTCATGTAAGCTCCCGTTTAGCATAATTTACATAAAAAATATACTGACTTTAATTTAGATTTTAAAAATGCAATAATATACAGGGTAGTCCGAATTGTATTTGAGAAACTTCGGCAAATTAATATGGGATTTCCTATATTCAGGTCGACGATGCAACAGACTGTACGCTACGAGAAGTTTACTAGTATAAGTTTTATATATTACATATTATAAATAATACGTTTAATGCTTTTGTCATAAAATAATATACTTCAAACTTCCAAAAACAATATTTCTTATTCTTTGTGTCCCTCTTCATTAACGCTATCATTGTAGTATCTCTCTCTTCTTCCCCAATTTTACATCTACTCACCTCGCCCAATCCTTGGATGAATCTGACGGCGATAAGCCAATAAATACCCATGTAGGCCGCCAGGGGGACCAACAGACCGAAGACGGAATTGATCAGCATGCCAAAACCCAGGAAGTAGATGTTGCCGTATTTCTTCGCCAGGATACCGAAGGGAATTTGTGTGACGACGTAGCCATAGAAAAAGGAAGATAGGACGTATCCTTGCACGTCCGTCTCCCATACGAACTCACCCTCGTTGTCAGTTGTCGATTTCTGAAAATTAAAAATGAAAGATTGTGACTATTTGATATACCGGGTGCGTCTCAAAAGTTTTCTCTTGTTTCATATTCTATCGTGAAAAAATCAGGGATAAAATGGGTAGACAGAAAACTATAACAGAGGAAATAGAGTGTCCAACTGAAGTGGTATGGACATGTGAGAAGGATGGACAACACGCGACTGCCTCAGAAGGTATTAAACTGGCTTCCACAAAAGAGAAGGAAACGGGCAAGACCAAGGACAAACTGGATGGAGGGTGTCAAGAAGGCGATGAACTGAAGGGATCTGTGTGACGGAGACTGGGATGAACGAAACCAATAGCGGCTAGGCATCGCACAACGTCGAAGGACGTTTTAAAAGCGATTCTTATATACCGGGTGTTGCATCGTCGAGCGGGACATAGGAAATCCCATGTAAATTTTAATGGGGTCAATTATTGGCTTCCCTAATTATTTTAGAGAATAATTCTATTTAGGTTTATTGAAGAGCACTAAAACCCACATTCAAAAGAATAACTTTAGATATTTTTGATTAGCCCGTTTACGAGTTATCGCCGATTTCTTTTTAAATATTTCTCCTTTCTTATGTCCCTGTATTTACTTATGAGCACCAGTCAAGGTAAAAGATAACTGTCAAATGAAGTTGTCATTTCAGAAATTTATCTATTTAGTGCTTTATTATTATTATTAAAAACTCACACCTACATCGAAAATATTAGCCATGAATTACACTACCGAAGAAAAAGTATTGATGATTAAATGGTATTATCAAGGAAATAGTTATCAAAAGGTGTCGGACATGTTTGCTGCTCTGTATCCGAATAGACTGATATCTGGAAAATGTACAATCGCAAGGAATATCCAGAGATTTGAGACCAAAGGTACCCTAATAAATAACTACAGATGTGAAGCAAGGCAGGAACAAAGAGAAGATACAAGAAATGATACCGATTTGGAAGATTTATTGTGCGTGGAAGAGAACGATGGAAAGATCAGCACAAGAAAACTTGAGGATGAAATAGGAATAGATCACACTACAGCGTTTCGAATTTTGAAAAGACATAAATACTATTCCTTCAAATATGAAAAGCACCAAGAGTTACGAGATGGGGACGAAATACGGCGACAGGCGTTTTGTTTTGATATGATGGAAAGAGCAAACACGGATAGGGAATTTTTAAAAAACATATGTTTCACAGACGAATGCACGTTTACCTTGAATAATGAACCCAATGTTCAAAATTATCGATATTGGAATAAAGAAAACCAACACAGGTTTGTCCAAACAAGGACGCAATATCCACAGAAAGTAAAGGTCGATTTATAAACTGAAAACGCGGTTCGACGCTCGACGTTACGGTCGGTAAAAAGTTTGTTTATACGCAGGATGTTTTGTTGATTATAAATTTTTCGGTTGTTGTTGCGGTTGACGTTTAACATCAAAAATTAACCAATTTTTAACTTCGACAGGAACGTTGACCTTGAAACGTTAGTAATAGCCAATAGAAATAATCGCAACCGCAACGTCGAACCGCACCGTTTTCAATTTATAAATCGACCTTAAATGTTTGGACAGGGATATTCGGACACTATATTCTCGGGCCATTATTTCTTACGCGAAATTTAAATGCAGAATATTATTTGGAACTACTCGAAAATCATATTTTACCTGCTTTACATGATGCCGCTAGGGAAAATCAGGAAGTTTGGTACCAAATGGATGTCTGCCCGGCACATAGTACCCTGGCTGTTCGGGAATAGACAATAGTTTTAACGGAAACGTTATTGGCCTAAATCATACAGTAGATTGGCCAGCAAGGTCTCCTGATATTTCGCCAAATGATTTCTTTCTCTGGGGACATTTAAAAAACAGGATATACAAGGATAAAAAATACCCAAATCTAGACGAGTTAAAAAATACTTTTTCTGCCGAATGCAATAGAATTACAGTTTACCAACTAGCGAATGTAAGAAGCGAATTTTATGATCGCCTGGGTTATTGTCTAGCAGTCGATGGAGGAATATTTGAACATCTTCTTAAATCCTAAAGTTCTAACAATTTAATAGTACCTAAATTAATAAGTTATTGAATATTGTAATAATATTATAATTAACCTTATAATTGATTACTTTATTTTACTTTAATTCATAATAATCTTTAAGATTTCCGATGTAGGAATGAGTTTTCAATAATAATAAAGCACTAAATAGGTAAATTTCTGAAATGACAACTTCATTTGACAGTTATCTTTTACCTTGACTGGTGCTCATAAGTAAATACAGGGCCATAAGAAAGGAGAAATATTTAAAAAGAAATCGGCGATAATTCGTAAACGAGCTAATCAAAAATATATAAAGTTATTCTTTTGAATGTGGGTTTTAGTGCTCTTCAATAAACCTAAATAGAATTATTCTCTAAAATAATTAGGGAAGCCAATAATTGACCCCATTAAAATTTACATGGGATTTCCTATGTCCCGTCCGACGATGCAACACCCGGTATAATAACTCTAAGTGTTTAGCCGAATATCGAATATAAATTAAAGTAGCCGAATATGTCGAATACCAAATATACGTAGAATTTCTACAAATAAACTAAGGTAAACTTACCGAGCTTGAGTTACCGCTTATAACGCCACATTCGTCGTCTACTCCCTCCGATTCCGAGTTCACTCCTATGGCTGTTTGATTTACCATAGCAACTATGGCCACTGACATGTTGGTCCTCATGATGTATGCATTTGCCATTCCCAAAAAAAGCATGAACGTTACAAAATGTCTTGTTCCAAACCATCCTGAAAAGAACAACGTAATGAAATATTATCCTTATACGAGTATAATATATAGAAAAACATATTATTAAAATATTCGTGATAAAAAGTCATATGTATTTAATATCAATTAAACTTTTAGTTACATAATCGAGGGCGCGATTTTTTGTTGCCAGCTATGGACATTTTCGGCGCCGTGCTGACTAACTGGAATTTAAATTTCGCGAGATTTAGGTGGTAGCTCTGCTGTAAAAAATGTCCAGTTGTCGCATTTATTTATTTACTGACAATGTCATTCACTTTGACACTTTAGTTTTGTATTACAAGTTTTAGTTTAAATAAATAGTTTTGTGATACTTTTTAAGCTTAAAAATGTTTACTAGCAGACCTTGCAGTCGAACATTTTTCTTTTTAGAACCTGTTTTAGTGCGAAGTGTACAAGATAGTTTAATAACCGTAAAAAACTCATCGCAACTTTATTAGAATATTTTGAACGGGAAAGAGGTAGTAATGGCCATTTATGTCCCTTAAGTGCTGTTAAGGAGGTGAGTTTTGTTGATATAAATAATAACCATTTATACATTATTTTTGTTTCCTAAAATATTTTGATCGAAAGAAAATATATAAAAGTGAACAACGTTGTGCCGGTCAAGCTTAATCACGTGACTAAAAGTTTATTTGGTATGAACTGTATGTGAACTTTTGATATTCTCGCTTAAAAAAATCGTATTTTAAATTTGAATCCAGAGTGCCATGGTTGTGTTAAAAACATTAATTCTTAATCAAGCCTTGGAAAAATAGATTTGATCGTCTAATGTTTATGTGTCTTGGCCTGTCCTGGCAATTTTTTCAAATGGAACGAAGGTGGCTCGATAGCATATTTGAAAAAATAATTTTCTTACGAATAATTTGGTACCACACACTTGGTATTTCGAGTCAAATCGTCGCGTCGTTACATTTATGGCACTCTAAATAAAAATTTAAAATGCTTTTTTTTTAATTGAAAATGTCAAAAGTTAACATATGCTATGTCATTCTATTCTGAATGTCATTTTCTATCAAATGAAGTAAAAAAAAATACCAAGGGTGTCATTTAAAAATCAAAAGTTGTAGTAATTTCTGGTGAAACAGGAAGTGACCGAAAATAATTGAATAAGTCAATCAATCCTAATTTATATTATATACTAACATACCAAATCTCGTTTTTTTATCTGAAAAAATAAAAAAGTTATTGGGCGGAACCACTTTTGAGACGCACCCGGTATATCGAAAATAATAAAGACCAAACTTTGTATCAAATAGCTTAAATAAAAATATTAAAAAGTAGAAAGTTTAAAGATATATATATAGGAAAAAAAGATATGTATAGGAAGTTTGGTTTGGTTTGGATACTGGTCCAATAAATGTTTCGGTTTGTCATCGATAATTAGCTAGACTGTGAAATGATAATGTTCTCGGCTAACGTGTATGACAAAATAGGACATGGGCCAATACTAAAATAGTACTTGAATTCGACTTTTTTCTGGGCAACGAGCTAGATCAGTAACTGAAGCCACGTTTCAGGTCCATGTTTTAAAACGGTTAGTCACTGAAAGATTCCTCGGTTTTTTTTTCTGTCCTGCGTCAATGCCGAAAATCTTTTGCCAAATTTGTTGCATAATTAACACTCGTGTTTCGGCGGAAATCATAATATTTCAATGTCCAGGACAGAAAAATTTAAATGATGCACGACAGTCTGATACAATGTCGTCAGCTTAGTCTCATTACAATTATTTTTATATGTCCCAAATGACAAAAAAAAACGATTTGGGAATGACAATCGATGATAATTTTGCCGAGGTCAATCTCGAGACGTAATTTACTAAAAATTGACATAAAACTTAACAATGATTATGGAAAGATTAAAAGAGGATAGAATGTTTCGAAAAACACAAATCCAGTTCTAAAATAAATTGTTTTTGAAAATTAGACAAATTTTAATTACACAAAATAATTTTATTAAAATAGGGACGATAATTTTTCAAATCTTTTTAACAACAAGTTTAGGCATTATTCATGTACCAAGTGAGCATTTTTCAGTGTAGCTATTAAAATTCCCATTATAATAAGTTGACAGGTTACCGTTATAGAGATCATATTATATCGAAATTAATTATATAGGCAGATCAATCTCTACAAAAGCCAACGGGCATTTTATTTAGAATTCTGTCAGGCTGAAAAAAAAACGGGTGAGGTTGTTTTTTGCGTATTCAATCCTTCGAGCGTACTGCTATTTTTTTTGGCCTGAGGCAGTCAAAGAAAGTCGCAATTTTGCATTATGAAACACAAATTAAACGAATGGAATATTTTAAACATTAATCAGGGATATTAGATATTACCTAATATAAATGCTCGGAAATCGCCAAATACCGCATGTGCGGTTGCGGCATAACATAGTATTTCTTTCGTATCTACTACCGATGAGTAGATTCGGATGGATACGAATTCAGGGATCTCTCTCCGGTTTCGGTACTAATGTGGATGTGTAGATTAGTTATTAGTAGTATAGCTTTTATTAGTAGATATGTAAGTTCATAATGATTTAACTCATAGTCAATTTCAACCTTAAAGTACATGTACTAAATAGTGATGGGCATTACGATTCTTTTTAGTGAATCGAATCACACGATTCAATTTCTCATATTGAATCGACTCCTACGATTCGTTCATTTGAACGAACCACAAGCACAATTATTTACGTTTCAGAAAAACAAGAATCGTAACTGGCACTACCGGCGATAATTTGGCCGGGGCGCCGTAGAAACAAACGATCGCATTGTGATCCAATTCAATTCTCACGATTCTTTTTTACGACTCATCGTTCAAATCTTATGGATCCGTGCTGGTCACGATTCAATTGAACGAACCGTATTGTAAGCAATGAATCAATTCTGACGACTCTTTGAATGAACGATCGCATTGTGATCCGATTCAATTCTCACGACTCTTTTTTACGGCTCATCGTTCAAATCTTATGGATCCGTGCTGGTCACGATTCAATTGAACGAACCGTATTATAAACAATGAATCAATTCTCACGACTCTTTGAACGAACGATCGCATTGTGATCCGATTCAATTCTTACGATTCTTTTTTACGGCTCATCGATCAAATTTTATGGATCCGTGCCGGTAACGATTCAATTGAATGAACCGTATTCTAAGCAGTGAATCGAATCACACGATTCATTTTTAATACGCGTTCAAATGAACGACTCGTTCAATCTTTGCCCACCTCTATTACCAAATAAATAGAACAGCTAAGATCAGGTGATAAGGATTTGGCAAAATTGGCAAAATGCAAACATCAGGTTTCCCTGACGGACTATACATCGTCTGAATGCAGATTGCTTCATGCAAAACAAAATTTAGTTAAAATAAAATTAAAGTTTAGAATGATATAGATCCGGCAGAATTGGAACCTGGATGTAGGTCTATGAAGCTTGGTGTAACTCCGGCACTTAAAATTAATATTTTTATAAAAAAAAACTAAATATAATAAGTCCACTAAAAATAATGAACAAAGTAACCCATTTTTATTAATGACACTTTTATGGTTTGGTGAAATAGTTTTTAAAATTTAATTTATTTGTTGGCTTAAAAATTTGTAATAAAAAATATTTAAGTTTCTATTTTTAAATTTAATCTCAGTTATTATTAAAATCGTCAACTACATACATCTATACAGGGTTATTCACCACATACGACATGTAGTATTGTAGCTAAACGAATAGATTTTTACAAATTGTATTTTTACAAATTGTAAGTTTTGGGTTCGTTGCAAGACTATTAGAGCATTACACTTATTTAAAAATATCTTTACAATATACAGGGTATAGTGATAAATGAGGTCCAAATTATAAGAAAATGCATTTTCTACGAACACTTGAAGAGATAGGTAAAAAATAGTATAATACAATTTGATAGACAATTAAATTGTGCATCTGATTCACGTAAAATATACAGGATGTTCCATTAAATTAAACAAGTTATTGCCGTTTAAAGCTAGTAATTGTTTAATATAAATTTTTGGACACTCTGTATAAGGTAGCATAATTTTTATTATTGCAACACAATAACTGATCAATAAATAAACTTCAGTAAATATTTAATCAAATTTACCTTTATTTCAATCCCAAAATCTAAACACAGGATAATATACAAGGTGTTCCATTTAAAAAAATACAACTATAATATTTTTTGCTTATTTGGGACACTCTCATTCTCATTCTGTATCTTGTAAAATTATTTTTAAATTGCAGTTCTGATGGTCCTTTACACCCAATACTTACAATTTGTAAAAATCTAATCCCTTAGCTACAATACTCCGTGTCGTATGTGGTAAACAACCCTGTATAATTGTGTGTCAAAAGATGAAATACATAGCGTGATCAATGAGTATTTTATGATAATGCAGGTTTAGATGATAACTGATAGATAACTCTTATGAGAAATAACATTAAAGGTTTCATCACAAAACTTTTAGATTACCTACATATATATTTTTTGAGGGTAACGTTTAAAGAATATCATCCAATATATTATTTTTCAGGTTTTAGGTTTTATATAAATATATGGTATTGCATTTATTGATATACACGTATGTAGACAAATTGGAGACACATACATATATTTATCAAATTATATTATAAAAATATAATGTAATAATAAACAAACTTTTTAAAGATCTGTACTTTCTGAAGATCCCATACCTACTTGATAATACTACTTCATATTCATATATAGATAAAGATTAGACTCAAATATTATTCCATAGAATTATATTATTCCATATGGTATTGATCAAAGGTTTTTTGGTATAGTCCGACACGTATTATACAATAGATTCTACCTTAAGTGACGTCATAATGTTTCCAATAGTTATTTTTAGGCAAATTAAATCGCGTGCTCTACCTAACGCTTTTTTATAGTCCACCTTTAGATTGCGCCTTTTTAAAGTATAAATTTCCTGTTAGGTATAATAAC